ACTTAAACGATAACTATCATATCGCGGGGACTTTACTAAGACAAATGTGAGAATTTATTGTGGCTCTTTGGAAGGTCTTACTGCAGAGATATCATTACGGATGATCAAATATTCTAACCACAATAAATATACTACGCATTTTACAATACATTTGCGGTGAAGCAAATCACAAAGGAACAATAAATATACTACGCATTTTACAATAAATTTGCGGTGAAGCAAATCACAAAGGAACCACTCTACACCAATATCACACACGGCGGGGGGGGGGGGTGTTATACATGACCTTCCACTCACCAGTCACTTTCCCAAACTGCCGAGAAAACGGTCCCGTTCATGCTTGCGTTTAGCCCCATTTTTCATGCACGTGCTTGCACAACCGGCTGTTACTTTAACAAAACGCTCAACTAATTGCAAAAAGGAGGTTCCTTAATAGCTACTGTCAAACCAATTTCTTCCTTGTTAAATCTTCTGAACTACACAGCAATATAATGGATGGTACACCAGTGCGCTGCCTCTCAGCTCGTTAGATTCCCCAGTAAAAATATCCGTCGAGAAGAACAGGTAAATAACGCAAATTTACGCGAGAAATCTCATGCATCCGGGAGAAAAGCAACCCATGCAAACATAATCAAGAAGAAGTGGGTGGGCGGGGCTGATAATACACGCGGATGTCTGCGTAGCCGGGACTCAACTGGATGAGAGAAGATTAAAAACGAAACTAAACACGCGAATAAAATGTATAAAATATGATGCATAAAACGTATGAAATGTGTGCGTTCGTGCGTAGGTGCATACGTGCGATCACGATCGAATTAAGTGACGGAATTCCATGGCTTTACACGTTAAAATGAAGCCCAGACAGAATTTGCCCCACCATCTGTACAACTGATGGGTGCCTTACACGCAATCTCTGATAGCAGTGAAAGTGCATACCGGTCAACACACATCGATTAGCACGAAACGTATAATGCAGAATTCGATCAGCTTTGAGTTCTATTGGCATGAAATTCGTTTTGGTTCATTTTCATGTAATTCTTAAACCAAACCATATTCACAACACAAATCTACTTGGTGCGCAAAAGGTCTTATTTAAATGGATTGGTGCAGCTTACGTAAATAAAGGTGTGAGAAACCAGCATTCATTGCCCAGAAGTTTTTTGTGGTCGATACAAACTAGCCTGAGTGCTTTTGCCGATGACGTTGCAACCCAATACACAATTGCTAAGGTTTATGCCTCTAATCCAACTACGAGATATTAGCCGAGATTGTAATATAATTTACGGTGACTACCCTAATACTGGAAATTCGTGTGATGAACCCAATTTATTTCATCATCTATTTCACGCTCAATATTTGTTCTCCACCTTGTGCGCCCCACAGAATTTAAGCGGCTATCTCACGAAATATGCTGGAGATTTCAACGATGGCGAAATCGTAGTCCTGGATAAACATCAGCATAAAACACGTTGAGGACGATTAAACTTGGCCTCGCAGCTACATTGTAATTCAGAGAAGAAACACTGGTGGCATAGATGCCTATGATCTACGGGCGATGCGCGCATGGCAAACGTATATCCCAGTTCCGCTTCCCGGTGACCCACTGTCGCCGAGCATTTTATCCTCCTTCGTCATTCATTCGCATCTGTTGTTATTGAGAGAAGCTCGCTTCTGCAAGTTAAAGCCGGTTTTTGTACGATAATCTAGACTGTGACGGGTGAATTATAATCTAAGGAATGACAATGCCGCACTTAATTGTTAATCCTTCAGATAATTACAAGATGCTCAAAATGTTTTGCACCGCAATTAATTTTTTCCACACGTCGTATGGCCAACGCCTGGACTTGGCAGAGGATTACAAGCCAACATCACGAAGGAATCGCCCGCTTTGAAAATAACAGTTATTTCCATTTAAAATCGTCATTGAAATGCCATTTTGATTCATTGTTAAATAATTTGTAAAGGAATTCATCATTTCATTTGCATAATCAGATCACGTAGCGAGAAAGAGACCCTCTGCTGTGAGATTCTAATAATTTTTGGCTAAACCTAATCACATACACAGTGAAATAGTGCTGCTTTATCCCATTTTCGTGATATTAAATCAAATTTAACAAAATAAAAAAAGTGAAACGAATTATTAAATTTGTTGTTCGTTTTTTTACTGTTTGGGAACATTGGAAAATTCTGGTATGAATCTTCGAGGGAAACAACATTGTAGTTTCATCTTCGCCATTTCAGCCATGCAGTGGACAAATCCTGCTGTCTATCTGATGGAGCAGCGGCGCTATATAATCCCCCACCACCGTGCTTTATTAGCTCTACGGGATATTCTACACGGGATAATGCAATAGCTATACATTAGTGACGATATCTGATATAAGCGGCATGAAATAGGAAGCACGCCCGGATTCTATATGTTCTTCAGATGTCATGTGTCATCACTGTACGTGCTCTTATAGCTAATGCAAATGGTTTAGTTTACTGCAATGTTAACGATGAACATTTCTCCTGCTATTTTGCTATAACTACTTATTATTTGTAATGAATTGTACACAGTAGGGAGCTGTGATCAAACAACGGCAGGCACGTACGCACGCTGTACGCAAGTAAGCACGCGCACGCACGCGCACGTGCGACCGCACGAGTAAGCACACACGCACATGGCTTCTGCTAAACCGTACTGTAGACGGGATACAATTACAACAAATTTACACCAAAACATTCGCAAGTAAAACAGTCAAAGCACCAAAAGCACAAGAATATTGCATCAAATCCTAAAAAAGTGGAAAATCACGCTGCTAAAAAGTTAATACGGCAATGAGTAAACTGCCTTAATTTAATAAAATAAACTACTAAAATGCAAAGCACAGAGACTATACAGCATGCATAACAGACCGCATGTAAGAGCAGCTGCACGATATTGATCAACACGATTGCTGGCATACCTGCAATCATACATTTCGTGAAGTCATAATCTCAGTCCAATATTATATAATGTCCTTGATAGAGGCACACATAAATTCAAAACGTTTGCATGTCAATAAAGAGCCATTTCACTAAAGCCGGCATATTGATTAGTAATCACGCGTTTCACTCACGACAAACGACGGGCAGTTTGATTACCAGATGTAGGGCTCAATTTACAATAATGTTACCTGTCTAACCAAACACTTCTTTTGTAGCCACGTGGGTAATGAGATGTGAAGACACCGCAATTCACCCAGAACAATAGGCTAGCCTTGAGTGAGCCACTCAGATATTAAAAATGGGCTGGGCTGAATTGTTGTTATTGGGAATTTGTTTTCATTTAAATTCACATTTGAGATTAAATAAATAATCTAAGTACACTGTTATGGATGTAGTCTAACCTCATACCAAAATGATGGCCATGTTGGGCGTGGATCCATTCCAGGCCAATTTCCTGCTACATCTATCCCCAGTTGATACACTTACAAGATCAAGATTTGATCACATTGAAAATAAGATTACCAGTAATTTTTAAGAAACTAAAATAATTGTTTGTCAAGACAACTACAGCTGTTCATAAAACGCACATGTTAAATTTCATTAAACATTTTTCTGTCAAACAATATGGTTGGGGTAAATAATTAATTTTTGGGATAGGTATTCCCATTGGCACTTTAAATCAGTTCCTGTTGAATCTAGTGCCACCTACTGGGTAGATTAGTACCTGCTTATTTTACACATGAAACGACAACGAATGAGTCTAAAAGCACTGTCTGCGGTAGGAAGGTATGTGCTTTAATATTGGGAGAAATTGGACGGTCAGTGGCATGATCCAGAACACATCTAACAATCTCATTTCTTCTGGGTCAATATAAAACTAATAACAACTGTGCAAAATTGGATTTTAATTCATGACAACTTATTGCCATAATTTGGCGACTAGGTTTGCTTTTTCTCCACATACCCTAAACCCTCTCTGCAAAAACTTTGAACTTGTTCAAGAAAACGAGTTTTTGTCCTTATTTATATTATATTATTATTTGTATTGCATATAATATACATGGCTCATACACAACACTCATCATTCAACATTATGCAGGACAAGTTCATCGCCGCATCTAATCGGTATCCGATTAGAAATCCAGATGCAGTGATGCTCACCTGATATGACGTATTAGACTTGATATCTCTGCCAGCTAGAGATTACTCAAGAGTCGTGTGATCTGTGTTCAACGCTGTGCAGGTCAATCTATTGAGCCTATCAATCCATGTCGTGTGCGCATGTACACAGGTGTCTGCCTAACAGTTTCTCTAGCAACCTCTCCAGGGACAATTATACAGCAAGAAATTTATTCACATTTCCAGCACCTACATTGGTTACTAGTGACACATGGTGGCCGAAATTGACATTTTCCCAGTTGCCAGTTTAATAAAATTACAAGTAATATTCCCAGTATCCATATTTACAGAGCACGTATATCATATGATATGATATATACGTGCTCTGATATTTACCATATAATCTCATTCACAAATTTATTGGAGATATCCCGGTTCCCAGATAATTAAGATGGTCCAATCCCCCGCCATGAAAATAACTGCCCCTTCTTAAGTGGACACCTGTTTATAAAAGACATTTCTCAAGTTCGTCGTGAGTAAACCTTATATACAGGTTTTGGCTTTATAATAGCTGAGAGAGAGAGAGAGAGAGAGAGTGAGAGAGAGAGAGAGAGAGAGAGAGAGAGAGAGAGAGAGAGAGAGAGAGAGAGAGAGAGAGAGAG